CCGCTTGCTGCGGGGAAGGCGAGGGGGCGGGTGAGGCTGGCTTTGCTCCGGCCTCCCCGGGAGCGGACGGGTTCTCCAGTTGGGGCTTCTCAGGAGCGAGGAGCGCGGACGCGTGGCGGGATGAATTCCCCTCGGGAGTTCTCCTTCCTCCTGTCCTGCAGGAGTGAGCGCTAGCCGGGTTCTCCGCGCCCCGTCGGTACCCTGCCCTCCCTTTTTGTCGGTGCAAGAAGAGACAGGGGTGGTCCCGAGCAGAGAGCGGGGCTTGCCCGCATCTCGGAGCCGTGGCCCCCACGGGAGGGACGGGAGCTCCCCGGCAGCCGGAAAGGGGAGTGCAGCTGGAGGGGAGGCTCCTGGCTGAAAGTCAGAGTCTATGGGCAAAGAAGTTGGTGACCAGCTGAGAGCAAACTGCGTCTCGTCTGTAGGAGTTGCTTCCTTTTCCTAGTTTTGTCTTGGTAATTCCTTTCCTTGAGTTTTAGGAATCTGTGTGTGAGCAAAATTCAAAGCCGTAGTTTCTATGCGTGCTGGTGTTAGTAGGGTAAGGCTATTTGTGTCATGTTTTCGCCTGTCGTCACTGAACAGCTAAAAATGTTATTTGGTAGATCAAATATGCCTCCCTAAGGGAGAAACAAGGGAGTGAAAGAGCAGAAGCTGTTGCTCAAGGGAAGTGGTTGCCCAGAATTTTCCTTATGAGCATTTCAGTCCTGTTCTTGTTTAAGATTACCTTCAGTTCTTCTGAATTGCCTGTCCCTTCTAGTGAGTGATTTCAAAAACATATCAGCATCTCATTGCAAGAATCACTCATCAGGCTGGGACTCCGGTTATTATACTGTCGTTCCATAATTAGCTGCAAATCGTGCCATATTGTTGCTCCTACTGGAAGGCTTCCAGATTAGCAACGGTTTTTACAATAGCTGTACACCTGCTTCCCTGTGAACTTCCAGGGAAATAGTTACCTGAGGATTCGGGGCACGTGTCTCTTGAGAGCGCAACAAATCCCCTTTACCTCTGGAATACTGAGGAAAGGATGTATGAAATCTGTCAAGGCCAATTTGTGTTTTTCTCAGAACAAATCTTTGCATTGACTTGGTTATTGAACTGGCTCAGCTATAGGAGATGAGAATGACTTTGAGAGCGCTGTATAGAGAGATCTCGGGACTGAAATAGCAGAGGACGCTGCCAGACGGGAATACAGGACGTGAGCAGGGCTGTGTGTGCGGAGATCGTGGCTTGGAGGTCTGCAAAGGTGCTTCTCGCGCCGTTTCGGAATTGAGAGTGGAGTCTTTAGCAGTGGACCAGCAGTGCGTACTTTTAGTTTGGCTACCTGCTTTAAATTAATGTGCTGGTTAATGTCGCTAGTAAAATCCTAGTTTAGTCTTTAGCATTTTTTAGGCCCTCTGCTTCCCCTTGTTGCCACTTCCTAAAAATAAAGCTTCAGCAAGTATACGTATTCCTCTCCCAGTCTGCAGAATTGCTTTTCTTTTTCAGAAGGATGATATTCTGCTTTTCTGTGGTCAAAGAGTTTGAAGTTCCAATTTGAAAAGGAGTATATTCTCTTTCCGTAAATAAAGCTTAGTGCTTTTCATTCCAGAAGTTCAAAATTCACAGGTGGACTTTCAAGCCATAGTTAACACTGGCCCCAGATTTTTGTGGTATTTTGTAAAAGATAACATAAAATCTAAGTAATTCTCCTGGATTTTGAGAGTCCCTCGGGACATTTGTAGTTTGGGATAATTACAGAATTGAGACCATCTCTAAATGTATGATAAGACTGGTGGTTTTGGCATCTGCTGCAGTCATTTTGACACTAGAACTGTACTAGAATTGAATGGTAAGGAGCAGTTGCTGCACGAAGTGCTTAGGTCAGTCCAAAGCGTAGAGGTGACTTTATGGTGAGAGAGCAGGGGCAGGACTGGCCACGCTGACCTCATGTCGGAACTGCCAGGTTTCCATGATGCAGGTGTGTATTTTACTGTTTACCGAATGCTTCAGGATTCAAACCAGTGACAGCCAAAGAAAAACATTATAGCATGCAACAAGGCCCCAGGGCATCCAGTTGCACAAAAGTTCTACTATTGCACTTCTCTGGAGGTGGGTAGTTTCTGAAAATGAGAATTTATCAAATTAAGCTCTTACCTTTTTAGGGCTCACAGAACAGAAACATCAGCTTTCTAAAAGAAACAATTAAAATCTTTCACGTACTGGCTTGCACATAAATTTTGTTAGTCCCAAACGTGCTTCAAACAAATGAATAAAATGATAAGAAAAGCATGTGTTGGTATAATATATTAATATTAACTTAAAATACATTTGCCATCTCACTATTCCAATATTTATGTGAGGATGTCAAGACTAACTCCTAGATCTTCCCTCCTCTATATATTATGGATTTAATCTTTAGGTGCATGACACAGATCTCTCTCATTTGAGTTTTAGGAGAAAATTGTGGGAGGGAAGCATTGTGTTACTTTGTGTAGATCAGCCTGTGTACGAGTTACATGATGCCATTGGGCTACCCAAATAAATTCTGAATTGCCAGGGAATTGGTGAGCACAGGGATTCTTGGAGCTTGTAACAGAGTATAGCTTCATCATTACAGAAAGATGTTATGCTTCCATGCAACAGGGAATGTAGCCGCTGCGTTCAAAGCAAGAGTCTGTGTGACTTGCAGATACCCATCTCTTAGCATGGAAGCAGTAGGAGTCGTGCATCTAACAGCCAGAGGATAACAATTCATGATGGCATTATATGATCACATAACAAACAATTCATGATTGCATTGCAAAGTAGGTGAGCCTCATCTCTTCTATTAGAAACTCGAGCTTTGTTCCCAGCCCCACCGATGTGACCTTCACCATGACTTAAAGTTGTGAGGAAAATAGTGTGTGTGAACAGAGATGAGCTGTCAGGTCCAGAAGATTTTTGCTGTTATATCCAGGATGTTTGCAGGTGGCAAGTGGTAAGTTAAGACAGCGCAGGGAATCTCACAGGGAGTGACAGCCTCCTCATAGGCTTACTCCTCCTCCGGGGAGAGGAAGAGTAAGCAGAAGGCAAAGGAGGCACTGCAGGCAAGGCCTGGCGTCTTGAGTTCTCCAAGAGTTAGAAGTTTTTCTTTTTCCTTTTTCCGCCCCCCCTCCCTTCTGCCTCTGTCTCTTGTAGGAGGTCCGAGGAGGGGGTGCGCTGCTTCAGTGATGTTATAGACTCTCCCACCCAAGGCTTTCCATGTGTTCTCGCTCCTGCTGTCCCCAACAAGGTAAAGGTGGCCCGCGTTCCCCTGGCTCAGGGTTGGAATGTGCCTTGAACCACTGAGCAGAAGAAATGACTGAAAGCGAGCTTGTGTGCATGCATGTGTTACATGTGTATAGTTGCCCACTTCTGTGAGAATCCTAAACTTGTTCATTTAATCATTTCTTATGCTGTACTGTATCAAGTCAGTAGTCTGACCCACTGAAAGTGAGAAATTCCTGATACCTGTCCGATCAGGTGCCACGTCAAGCTTTTGCAACACAAGCTGAAGACAATTTGGCCAGTTGTATTGTCCATGCTATCAGTTAAGGAAGAACGATTCCATCTTGTCTTCAGCAAGCAAGTAGTTTCTGTGCCAAAACATGGAAGGAGCTGTTGGCTCCTTCAATATCTGGCCTACCACGGAAGATAACGTTAGCTTCTGCAAATGTTAAATCCTTTTCCCTGTTGTCTTTTCCTTTTCACAGACTGTGGACTTGTTTGAGATGATTGAAAAAATGCAGGTAAGGAGGACTTACTCTGTCAGACTTTGGGATCTCTTGATTTTTCATAGCCAAACAAATGATCAGCTGCTATTTGTCTTGTCGCTTTGCTCCCAAAACCCTTTAATTTGGGCTTGCGGAACATTCAGCTCTTCTAGACCCAAACTCCTATACCTCCTCTTAAATGGAGTTTCAAAAGCGTTTTCCTGGGTTCATTCTTCCAGCCAGCATGATGGAAGGAATAGGCACAAATTATTATAATTCTGGCTGTTCTTGGCAGAAGTGTGATTCTGAGAGAAAATCAAGGTTGCATTAAGGTATCTCTGGCATCTTCTTCAAGAAACTATGCTGGGTAGCAGCTGCTAACGACAGGTGATTAATGGGATGTTAGCATAACTGTGCTTAGCAAGGTCAAACAGTTTAATAAATAACTACTGTAGGCCCCGTCTTTAACTTGCACAAGAAAGAAGGACTCTGGCTTATTTCTCTTACGGAAATACATGCATTTAGTTGCATATATTGCCTGATAAAATTAAAATAGAGTAAAAGGGGAAAAAACCAACCCTGCCCTACCAAATAAAGAGATAGTAATATAATATTATGTTATATATGTTTTATATCTAACAACAAAATCTTTAAAACTAAATTTTTCAGATGATCTGTTCTCAGAGCATCCTTACAGACTACCAATATTTTCTCTGAGGGGTACACCTTCTTTAAAAGGCTGTGGTTAATTTGACCTAATGTAACACGGCACATAACGCCTGCCTTTTATTATGTGCAGGAATTAAACTTTTAAGAAACAGTTAACTTCTTTTCTGGAATTTGGGTGATCAAATTATCGGTATGAGGAAAATGCAAGACTTTGGTGGGACTATAAAGGTGAGGAGGTGGAAGAACTAGCAGAAGTCCTTTACTGGAAGACTCTGTTGCTGGACCAAACCAGAAGGGTGTCTCCACAGGTGGCTGAGACTGCTATAGTTCATGCCTCTCCCTTTTGAGGAATGACAGTGATCATCAACCTGTTGTTCTGCCCATGCTTTGACACGTCAACAACTTATGCTGGACATTCCCTGCGGTCCTGGTTACCCTCTAAAATAAAGCTTTGGACTATACGGCCCAGGGCTGCATTAGATCTTTGCCAGTACCTTAAGCTTCACTCTAGAGGAGAGGTTGGTAGGTTTAAGCCTACGTCTTCTGCTCCCAGGCTATCGGGAGCTCCTTTAACAGTGCAGAGTCATGGAATGTGCTGGCCCATTCCTCTGCTCTCTATAGAGGCTCCGATACGAACAGCAGCTCCTTTACAGCAGCCCAGGAAATTTTCCCTGAGGCCTCTCTGAGATACTGGTCTTCTACCAGGACCTCCTTTGAAACTGGAAAGTCTTTGCAGTTATCAGATCTGTCAAAAATGCCAAGGAAAGGAGAGAGATCTTACAAAATTGCAGTTTCCCAGCCTCCATTTCTGTGTGCAGAAATCCCCTGGTGCATAGCAAGTTTGTCCTGGTACTGTCCACAGTTTGTTCCACAAGGCTGGGGCTGCTCCGTACCTGCATGTCTCTCCTGTCTCAGTCCTATTTTGATAGAGCATAGGACCTTCTTGCCCCAAAGAACTGTTCCCGAGACGCCAGTTTCCAAACCTAGCCTTCCTCATGAGCCCCAACACACTAGGTTGACAAGTGAAACTCCAGATTACATCAACAAAACATCCACTTGCGCTTACATTTCATGCACTCCACTCTCTCAGCTTTATGACTTCCCCAAATGAAAAAGGGTTGGTGCTACCTCTGCAAGAGGTAAAGATCAGTTGTCAGTTCTAGCTCAGTTTCACAACCTACCATGTCCTGGTAATTTGTTGTTCATTTTGTCAGTGCTGCCTACTGATGTTGCAATTTGAAATGGATCTTCCGACGTTTTCCTATGAAGAATGTTTCTAAGCTGGTATTTGTTCAGGCTCCTCTGTTGAAAATACAAATGAAAAAAACCCAATTTTTTGGGGGAGTAATTCTATCTAAGCTAAGCTTTTATAGTTTGATCCTGTGTCACCCTGCAGACATTTTGACAAGCTTCTTTCTCCTAATATAGTTAAGGAAAATATTTTTTTTTTGCCGTTATATTGTCTGCAGATTGCTCCTCACTTGCTTTACTGAGTTTCTATATTTAATCAACTAAAATCTGTTGTTATTGCTATTTTTTGTGTTTGAACTCAACTTCACACTTATGAAGAATGTCCTCGTGCATCTACTACCAGTCTCCTTGCCCTGGGCTTTACCCATACTGGTTTACTTCTGGTGTTTCTAAGAGTTTTTTGAAGGTGTTATGCATTTGTTGTGAGCTCAAGATCTGGCTCCTCATCATTTCATGAAGGTTTAGCTTTTTTATGGCTCATTTTTAGGTTCTTTTAATAAGCTTTCTTATTTTTCTATGACCTCGTTTTTATGTGTAATGGATGGCTTTTTTTTTTTTTCTTTCTTTTTTTTTCGTTTGTTGTTCCTGCAAGGAGCATCCTGATCATTATTAATCCTCAATCTAATGTTGCTATTGCCCACTGTTAATGTTGTTGCTATACTAGAATTTTTTTCACCCTATAAGGCTGGAGCATTGGCCCCAAACTTGCTCTTGAGCCTCTTACATCTCCACTGTAGAGCTCCACTCAGATGTACACGTTTCTACCAGAGGCTAGCTAGTTCCACTGTAGGATACTTGCATAGACATAGCTGTTATAAATCAGATCCTGCTTGTTTTCAGAACAAAGTCAAGAGCTGCTTATCCTGTCTGGAATCCCTGATTAGCCGCTCCATTAGGCAGTCACTGATGGTGTATAAAAACGTAGTCTCAGCATCATGTTCTGGTATGAGGGTTACAAGCTTTAGGTGGCAGTAGTTGAATACTTGTGTATAAGAGAAAGCTACAGCTTAAATCCTGGTCTTCAGCTTCCTATCTGACAATGCCAATTTTGCCTCTTCTGTCTGTATTGATGCCCACTTGGACTATGGCCATCATTTCATGGGAGCATGTTGGCCCCCATATCTTTTTGGCTTCTTTTGTTCCGGGCCTCTGCTCAGTCCTTGCTGGGGCTGTCCTCACTAAAATTGTCCCGTTCCTGCGTGCTTCCGCTGCAGAAGTGCGGTGGAAGTGAGCTAGTCTTGCCATGGTGAGAAGGCAGAGGATCGAGTAGCCTTAAGAAAGAGAATCAAGTCTGGATGCCAGCTGCTGGTTCAGGAAGATACTAGGCACCCAGTAGGCTTTTGCCCTGCCATTCCAACCCACCTCCAAGTAATGGTGCCTAGGAAAGCAGATGTGCAGGGCTTTGCTATGCGGCTCCTTGCTGCCTGCAGGAGTCTGTTGCGCTGGTCAGATGCATGGATGGAGAGCAGCTCTGATTTTCTGTCTTACCTCTAGGAGGCAGATTTGTTCCCTTATGTGGAGGGAAGCAAGGCCCATAAGCTGCTTAAAAGTCTTCTTGCCTAGCCCTAATCCTCAAACCAAGTGTTTGTCACTTCTCTGAACCCTACTCTGAGGTTCTCAATGCTGTGCCTGACAGCATCTTCAAGGGAGAGGGAAGAGTAGAACAGGAATGAGTGGTCTGAAATACTGTTCTTTTGTGTTCTGTCTTTACCTCTTCCCTTTTTTTATTGCTTGGGATAGGAAGTAAGCTAGAAGACATTAGAGAATTAAATAAGAAAATCACTTTGGGAGATTGCTTTTGATTTCTGCCACCTTTCTGCTTTTTAAGAGATGTAAGGTGGGGGGGCTTTTCAGTTTTAATGCCAAACTAAGGGACTGGCCAAGTTCTAGCTTTACTCCTTCTGTTTATTCCAAACTTGCATAAAATAGAAGATTACAGAGAGAGACAAAATATGCATATTGGGGATATGGAGAAGGACACAGAGGGTAAGTGAAACAGGCATGCTAAACCATAGGATTCATTGCGACTTTCTGTTTCCAGGGGAGTCGCCTGGACGAGCAAAGATGTTCCCTTCCAGCTCCTCTCAAGGTCAGGCCAAGTTGTTGTTGCCTCCTAAGTTGCTGAGAGTGGCAGATAGTAACTGATGTGGCTTGCAGTGTATTTTCATCTTGGAGTGAACAGGGAGCCTACAAACAGCCTAAGATATGCTTGTCTTTTTTTGTTTTGTTTTGTGTTTTTTTTTTTTTTTAAGCTGCTGTACAAGAGGGTGAAACTCTGTAGCTGAAACGGAATCAATACTTTCCTTTTACAAATTTAAGTGGTTCCAATAAGTGTTTAATATTATTAACGATCTTAGTTTCGACTAAATAATTTCTTAAATTTTATTAAGAACGATAATAATGTTTATGAAACCGCATTGTATTATTTCAGTAGTCTGCTTGAGGACTCATAGATGCTACTAGAAAGCTGGTCTGTTTCCCTCAATGTTGGGCCAATAAGATTCCAATCTTTAAATTCTCAACTCTTCCTCTCCATTCTTTCAGTCTCAGCTCGGGCACAGTAACCTTAAAATCAACCTTGACCTTGAATTCAGTCTTGGAATGACCTTAAAAAAACCCCAAAAAACCACCCAAACCACATAGAGAATTGATATAGCTCAATTCTGACAGAGATAGTGCTCTTTGTGGTGATGGAAGGGGCATCCAACTGGCATAAAGCGGCTCAGGTAGTCCTTCTATTCTTGCACTCACGCCTCAGCACTGCTCAGTTGTATACCACAGGTCTAGCTACGGAGATGACACACCTTTGATCTAGCTGTAAATACAGTACTATTTCTAACATCCCTACTGTCATCTCTGTCTGCAGCTGTCTTAACACTGTGTGGAAGGAAAGGAGAGAGGCTCTCACTCCTAACCTCATCCAGTTTGCCTATAGTTTGACTACCTCCTTATTTTGCTTGCCTGTATTCTGTGTAGTTTCGAGGAGGAAGGTGGGTGAAATCTGACTCCTAAATTTATTGTTCTCAAGGTTCTATATTATAATGCTGAGACCTGGGAAATGGAGTCTAACCTTAAATCCTAAAGTAAAACTCTGAAGATGGGTTAGGGCAGAGTGGAAGCTGAGGGCACAGCTTGCGCCGCCATAAGGGCATGACACTTTAAACGATGTCACACGTTTTTGCTAATGGTCTCTTCTGATTTCAGACGGAAGAGGAGTATATTCCTTACCCCAGCATCCATGAGGTGAGTTACTACTGCTTTCCTCTGTTTTTCCTTGGACTTTATTGGCCTTTCAGCTTATTGGCCTTTCAGCTTATTGGCCTTTCAGCTTTCACGTTTTGTGTCCTTCTGAATAGGTATTACAGAAAGGGTGGCCATATCCTCTCATTATCTTACCCCAGTTTGGGGGCTACTGGATTGAAGGGACCAGCCACAACCTCTCCAGCTTGAGTCCAACTCTGTCTGACGTACCCTTTCCCTGGAGTGGTAAAGCGAAACTGGAGAGTGACCCTACAGCCAAGCTGTACCGCAAACATTTTCTGGGGAAGGTAAGGGTGATCTTCAGAGCCTTCTCTGCCCACCGAGCCTCAAGGCTGAAATGTATCTCGGGCTTTTTCTGACAGACTTAGAAATAACTGCACAGCCACTCCATTTCAATTCCTCATGATGCATTGAACTGATGTGAATAAGGTACATACTACCCTACGGCTGGTAGTGTGTTAGGTTGGTCCTGTCCCCTTGTGATGTGTGCATCATCCTGTGCATTCACAGAAGAGAAAAGTTTGCACAGGAAATGCTTATATTTGGTTAAGAAACTCTTTTGAGGCTCCTGGACAGATACCAACCTTGGGATGACAAGGGGAAAAAAGTGTAATAATATTGGAAATGGAGATGGTATTATTTTTAGAGGGGACTTCAGCACTGACAGTGCAAGCCCCTCAGTAGTAAGAAAAATCATCCATTTTCCTCGCTGTAAATAAGCAGCAAGTATGGTCACCACAGAATGTGTCTGAAGAAACTGGACAATGTATTTTATAGTTGTTTGATTTAAGTAGGTTTGGTGCTAAGTGTTGCCTGACTTTAAAAATTTCAGTCTGACAGACAGGGAGACAGAGCTTGTCCTCATTAAGTGTATTTTTGTTGGCTGGCCGTGGAGGTCCATCTGGGTTGGCCTGTTTAGGGAACTGATTGATTCCCAGGCTGAATCTCAGGATGGTATTAACCATCAAGAACAAGTGAGAACAAACCCATGAGATTCCAGTCATGGCATAAGGAGATAAGGAAGCCTGACTGGTATAGTCACGCTGCATCTTATTCATAGAATCATAGAATCGTTAAGGTTGGAAAAGACCCTTAAGATCATCGAGTCCAACCGTTAACCCAGCACTGCCAAGTCCACCACTAACCCATGTCCTCGAGCACCACGTCTACTCGTCTTTTAAATACCTCCAGGGATGGAGTCTCAACCCCTTCCCTGGGCAGCCTGTGCCAGGGCCTGACTGCCCTTTCGGTGAAGAAGTTTTTCCTAATATCCAACCTAAACCTCCCCTGGCGCAGCTTGAGGCCGTTTCCTCTCATCCTATCGCTTGTTACTGGGGAGAAGAGACCGACCCCCACCTCGCTACAGCCTCCTTTCAGGTAGTTGTAGAGAGCGATGAGGGCTCCCCTCAGCCTCCTCTTCTCCAGGCTAAACAACCCCATCTCCCTCAGCCGCTCCTCATAAGACTTGTGCTCCAGACCCTTCACCAACTTCGTTGTCCTCCTCTGGACACGCACGTGGTCTCCCTCTGCGACTGCTTAATAAGTTCAAAACCAGGAAGAGGTGGAGTTTTGGGCAGTGCCTGGGACCTGTTCTGGGGTAGCTGGACTTGTCTGAATGATCTTGTGTAGTACACAACACTAGAAACCGATATTAATATAGTTTATATGTAAAGTACCCTTCCTGGAGGCTTCCTCTCTAGATTGACAGATCTGCTGTACAATCTGCTAATGGACATTTATCCTGTGACATTCTGGAAGTCTTCAGTATGCCAACTGTAATTATTTTGCTGTCATGGTAAATTTAGGGTTGTGCTTGAAGGTTTCCAGAGCTGGCTGGGATGAGAGGCAAACTGGGATATGATTTTTTTCAGTCCGATTGTAGGATTCACTGCTGACCTGATATCGCAGAATGGTTGAGGTTGGAAGGGACCTCTGGAGCTCATCTTGTCGATACCCCTGCTCAAGCAGGGCCATATCATCATTGCTCCTTCCAAGTGAGATCCAGGAGTTCCCATACCATCAGACTATTCATTTGCAAGTGCCCAACCATCAGTTGGGCAGTACTTCAGAACTACAGAAAAACTCCTCTCACCTATATTCTTGCTTTTTACAGTGTCCAGTGTTTTATCCTTTGTCTTAATTGACATGAATGTGTGTCTATATTCCATTAAACGTGCAAGTTTTTGAGCAAGCCAGTGTCAGAAAAGAGCAAGGTGAACAGGACTCTTGTCACAGAAAACTCTACCCATGGTTAGAAAACTTTACCCATGGCTTAGAGGCTTAGGTAAGGAGAGAGCTCAGAGCTTTTCCACAAGGAGAGTATTTCTTCAGTTCAAAGAGACCAGTGATTTTGATGCTGTGTGGATTGGGCCCTTTTCTTGCTGATAACATGGGAAGGTTATTTCAGAAGGGTAAAGAAAGGTCTCTTGCATGCTTTGAATAACCATGAACAATTCTTAGCTGAAGAAGAGTCCATAAGCATCAGGTGATGGGAGAGGCATAGCCAGTGGTTTAGGGAATACCCTTTAAGCAAGATGGGAGATTCGGGTATGTGTGGTATTACAAACTTAAAATGCATGTTTGTGTTGTGGGTGTGCATACACTAGATCACTCAAACTCGGACAATTCTGTTGATGCTTTTTGCAGAAACCTTGTAGCAGATCCTATAAAGCAGCCACAAAGAAAAGTGCTAGGACATACAAGCAATAGTTCGGTTCCTTTTCTTTGTTTCATGGTCTATATTTTATATGACGATTACACAGTAAGATTCATTTTGCCTCTAGGAAGAAGGCTGTAAAACCTTATGTCTTATACTGTGGGAATTATTAAATGTCTATGTTGTTTTTCGAGACTGTAATAAAGAGAAGTAGCCTGAAGCCAGGAAGGATTTAATAAAGGTATACATTGGAAATGTCAGTCAAAGAATCTCAGGGTGCAGTTTCACAAGCACTTGAAGCTGGCAGTGCTGATGAGAGAAGCTTTCTTGCCGTACGTTCATACGTGGGCATGTATTCCTCCATTATGCTGGTTAAAGTATTGTTGCTGCAGTGCTGTGAACCGTTGGGGAGCTGACTCAGTGGAGTCCTCTCAGCGAAAGAACGATGTCTTAAGTTATTAGTGTGAAATTCTAGCTTAACCTAGGACAAAGAGGTGGAAACTATTTGAAGCAGTCAAAGGACATTTTTATTATTAGCTATAATTGTAATGATCTCTTTTGTTATTTTAAAGTCTCTCTAATTTTGTTTCATTACTACGAGTCTACAATTTTAGTAAACGTATTCTCTGACTTGCTGAGACTGCAGGTCTTCTCATAGTCAGGATCGTTTTTCTCTGGTGTGCAAGTACCTGTGTTTTGGAGCTTGTTACTGTTTTCCTGTCATGATAAGCTGGCATCAGGCAAAGATTTTTTTGTTTGTTTGTTTGTTTGTTTAGTTTTCTCCAAGCAGAGATGCAGGGAGGGCCTGCAAGGAGACAACCTTATCAGGTATTATTTCAGTACCAGCTCAGCCTTAGTGGTTCTGTGTTCTGCAGTTGCCAACAACGACAGTAGCTTCTAGGTCCTTGTTGTCATCTGACTGGCAAACAACACCTTACAGTTTTACGAAAAGAAGGCTTGCTGGACTAATGATGCTGCCTACTCAGTAATGTAAGTTCGTAAGTTATCTGTCACTGTTGATAGGCTCGGATGTTCAGGTGTCATTATCTTCCTGTAGGTCATCACATGGTCATTTGGCCACCAAAGCTGCTTTTCTTTCTTCTTCAGGGATGAAATCATCCCAGTATTTTACGAGGTGACCAGAGGTTGCCAAGTCTTTTCACAGTTAATTGGGTTTTTTATTTTCAGTTGTCTTGAAGGAAGAGAATGGGCTAATGAACCCGTTTTGAATCCTGTAAAGATCTTGTGGTGTTCTCTGGCTTCCTATGCTCCTCTTGATAAAAGAACTGACAAACCATGCCAGCTCCCATGGGGAAGACATCTTTTGTCTGGTTTGTTCCTCTTCGGTGCAATTGCTGCTACTGAGTTGTGAAAAATAATTCTGTTTCATCAAAAAGAACCCAAGCGGCTAAGAACATGGCAGATTTCTTACTAGCTTTATAACTTCTCAGGCAAAGTGTCAGCACTCCTTGTGTATTCTGTTAGTCTTTTCCCTTGGTCCCATGGAAGAGACTTAATTGCTTTTACAGAGATCCATTTGAAATCCAGAACTTCCTTTCAGACTGCCTTAAATGTTACAGAAACTGCTTCTATGGCTGAACAAATTTGTACCTATACATAGGTCATCTCAGCACCAGGATATCTTGTCACTGCTGAGTTGCAATCTTCAGTATTAACCGTAATGCCTTTTGACAGTTCATCTCTAACTTCAGGAGAGCTAATGGTAAATGCTGTTGTACGTTGAAGGACTCTCAGTCTGCCTTCTGTTGCCTGTGTGTTTTTACAGCGAAAGAAAATCACAGAGGGAAAAAAAAAAAAAGTCATAACAAGGAAAGTATAGTTTTGTTCATACATACAATTACTCAGATGTCAGTTTAAAACCCAGGCTTACATTCAGGATCAAGCTAGGCAGCCAGAGTAGCTTTGACAAAAATTCAATTATTTTAAGACCTCCGCTAGTTCCGGTGCCTCTTCCCCTGTGAAGACTGCACCCCTTTGCGCAGCTCTGCCCGGTTATGCTGGCTGCAGAGCTGATAGCCCCGTCTCCAAAGCAGCTGAGATCCCAATGTGTCAGACCTGCTGGGGTCTGGCTTAGAAGTCTCATCAAAAGGCATCCTGTTTTCTGGTCTTTGCAGCTCAGTGTTACTTTTGGCTGCAGCTAACCTCAGGCTTTGGCTCCTATTCCTTTGTTCTGCCTTCTAGACCTGACTTTTGTTGGCATTGTGCCATCTTTTTCCTTAACAGCCTGTCTTGGGCATCCACCCTAGCATATGACTTTTGGTTTATGGACTTCTTTGATTCTAGACTTCAGCTGACCATTGAGCGTGCTCTTGTTTTGCTCCTTGAATCTGTCTGTTCCTCAGCTGCTCTGTCTTTCTGCCCTTGGTCAAAATGACTACTGCACCCGATTCTTGTTCACATCCCCAAAATCTATTAGTATCCTGAAAGTCATGGTCAGGAGAAACTGTCTTCTCAGCCTTTGTGGCTTCCTTTGATTTCAGCTTTTCTTCCCATGTACAGTTAAGTTCAGTCACTACTACTGACTTGTGTGACATCATACTGGACTTCTGAGATTTGAGCACTGCAGCTAGAGGCCACGTTATTCTGTTTGCCTGTTTGCTGCTCTTTTCTCATACCTTATCTTTTTCAGGACCCACTCGTTCCGTCTGCTTCAGCAGAAGGTAGATTATGCTAGCACCAGAAGCCCTGAAACTTTTTCCCCGTAAGTCAGTAGCAGGGCAGTTCTGGGTTTTGTTTTTTTTTCTGTCTCAGAGAGCAAGTGAGGACAATGATATCTCTAATACTTAAAGAAGTTCAATAGCTTCATCTTCCCATCCAGGTTCAGCATAGTGACTGTAGTCTTAGTTATTCCTTTTTTTTTTTTTTTTTTCAAAGAGGGGATTGGGTTATGTCTGACTTCAAGATGCCTACGTCCACATAGATATCAGAGTATTTCACTAGATGTATCTTTATTTCACAGTGAGTCAGAACTATGACTAATACAAAAAATTGTTTAGGTTTTTTCCACAGCAAAAGGCAATCTCACCAGTGTGTTGAGAGAGGTTGCAATCCACCAGAGACAGAACAGACTTTCTGTAATTTCTAGGCAAAAGGCTGAGGAACTCACTCCCAGATTAGCAACTCTTTTTGATCAAATTGCACACTTTGCTCCCATTGACTTCTTATTAATTAATTGTGTCTGGAGTATTCCTGTCACAGAACGCATTCCAAATTGCACAAGTTCTGACTGTACAACTGGACACTTAACTTGCTGTCCCAGTGCATAACACTTTTGTGTCACGCACAAGGGTGCATTTATACGGTGCTTCCCGCGATGCTCCCTCCGAGTCTTGCAATCCTGGTTACTGACTTCATGCTCCCTGTCCGTCTTCTCAGGTTGCAAGTCTTTGATTTGAGATGACTGCTATTCTGGTGGTAGAACAGCCCATTCGTTATTTGCCAGGGAACGGTGTTTTATCTCTCTCCTCCATTTAATTTGACCATGACAAATGCTGCATTTAAGCTGAGGAGATCATTTCTACAACCAAACAGCATAAAACCACTGGTGTACGTCGGAACAGAATCTGTACACGCTAAAATATATGCAGAGTACTTTGACTATGTCTTTCAAGTAAGTTGGTGATGGGCAACAGTATCATTAGAAAATACATCAACAAACAAGACAGCAGTTGGTACATCTTCTCTGTGAAACAATTGACAAGGGGAATTTGGGAATCAAGCTCTCCATTAAAGTGTGTGCATTTTATCTCCTGGGAGCATCTGACTTCTCAGTGAGTGGACAGAGCTGCTTTTTCCTACAGAACCACAGGTGGGAAATCCAGCTGGATATCTTGAGGTACATCATCTGGGATTTGGAAAATCCCAGGATTTGTCTACAAAAGATACCAAAAGAAAGCCTTGATTTTTTGTTTTTATTTTTTTTCCTGTTGCCTGAACTGTTCTGCACTGAAGATCTCTGTGGACCCGTTCCTGATGTTCCTGATTCCACCATCAGCGGATTGCTGTATGACTTTCTCCTGATTCTCATGGTCCCGAGACATAAGGAGGCACTGATAATTCTGCCTGCTATAGGGTAGCTGAGACAATTTTGGGGTTGGGATTCTTTATTTTGTTTTATTTTGTTTTATTTATTACTATTTTGCTTTGCTGAGAAGGAGTCTTACCCCAACTTCCGTCATTGCTAGCTCAGAAGTACCATACTAATCTCGCTATATTCTCCTGGGTTGGAAGCTAAATACTGGAATGCACTACTGCCTCTTTCAACAGAAGTTCTCATTAGCAGCAAGAGATTGAGATATTAATCTAATCAAATCTAATCCAAAGAGAATCGGATCCCCTGCCTGACATTCTCATTGGTCTCTCTCTCCTGGTTATACCTCAAATCCTATAATTTTGGACTGTTTGCTGAAAGCGTGAGTTCAGTCTCAACTCTTTGTTTGGTCAGAGTTTATGTAGCAGCCAGCTCCAAAAACTGGCCATAAAGTGGTTTTCCACTAGGAAGATGGGAGCGATCTGAGCATTTCTGGATGATTCCACCTATATAGTATTCTCGTTGTGCTAGAGGTTTCCGTTCACATCCCTTGTCAAAAGGCTTTAACCTTTTGAGGTTAGAAGTTATATATATCAATATATATGTTAAATATATATATATATAGAATATATATCATTATATAAAATATATATTGATATACCCAAGGCATTGGAACATGGCTGTATACCCAGGAGAAATGTATGGCCACAGCCACTTCTGTATAGAGCCCGTGAAAATGTTTGCATTAGGGTTCATTGTTTGACTGAGTGACTCTCTCTGTTCGAGGCACACTCCACTAAAGCTCAAGCAGTGTTACTGGCACTGCTGGGAACAGTCTTCATCTGCAAAGTAGTTATCTGGAGCTCTGACTGCATCCTCCCTGGGATGTGTGTGCTCTTAGAGATCAACCATTTGGTATAACGATCCTGCCATTACTGTTTGTATAGAAAATTCCCGTGACCACATCCAGTTGAATGTGCTGGAGTCCACTACTTAGTCATGCAGACTCTGAACGGATACGACGAAAGTCCGTGAAAGATATGAATTTATTTACGAGAAACCCAATTTCTTCAAAATGTGTTGCTGAATGTTTTCATCCTATTCCTTCTCAGGAGCCCTTCTGATGAGGGATAGCTGAGGAGGAACTGAACGGACAGTGGATGAACTTTGACTGATATGCTCATGCATTGATCACCAAGGGGGCTGGGAGACAGCATATGCATGTCGTCAAGCATGCCGTTGCTAGTTAAAGAAAAAAATAGCTAATCTCGAGTGACAGGTTGTATGCAAAAAATCTGGTAAACTTCTCTGTTCGCAATAATGCATTTTGGCTTCCTGTTTTCAGGAGCACCAGAACTTTTACTCCAGTGACATGTCCTTGGGCTACCTGGTACTTTCTGTGAAGTACGAACAGATCGAGAAACAGGAAAATCTTCGCCTGTTGCTGAGGTAACAGTGCCTGTTGTTGAAGTGTATGTTACTGTGCTGTGTCTCTCCTCTTACCTTGAGCTTCCTCTGCACAGATACGGGTGTGAATCTGTGTGTGTCCCCTGGAGAGGACTGCAAAGGAACCTTTGAGCCTTCTTGCCTTCCCCTCCAAGTTTCTCTCAGCAGTTTCCTTCAGGAAGGAAGTGTTTTTTGCAGGCACATCTTTATAGTTCCTGTGTGAAAAACATCTGTTCTTCCCTCAAAAAGAAAGTTTTTCTGTTTATTCTGTTTATTTAGAGACATGTGAGTACTTTCTAGGAGAATATGGATTCCCCAATGGAGGGCAGCCTAGCCCAGGCCTGTCCTTGGACTTTGTACTTGAGACTAAGGCTCCCTTGAAGGTGAGCTAGAACATTCCTTAGCTTCCCAGGGCAGCCTACGAAGTGCCATAACCTTTAGGGCTTCCACAGAGAGCCATTACTCAGAGAGAGCTGCTGAATGAACTAGAGGAAGAACAGAGATGGATCTTACATAGGTGAGAAGCATGCTGCAGAAAAGCTTTTTACCACGCTATGTGCTGGGCGCGCTTCCAGTAGGCAATATGCTACTGCAAGCAACTGACGTACCGTTGCTGCTGACAAGGACTGATCCAGGACTGAGGGAAAATACTGGTTGCGTAGGAGTCAGCTACAAGAGAATCGCTGATGGGTTTCCTCCATCATAAGCGGAGAATGCTTCAGAGTGCCAGGCGGAGCAATAATCTAGGGGGGGAAAAAGAAAGAGCTTATTTGTGAGCTGTGCCAGGAAACGTTTGTATGAGCCCAGAAACCTTCCTACATGGAAGAGACAGGTGAAGAACAAAAGGGGAGCAATTTCCCTATTAAGATACCATATTATATGCAGCACCATTTGCTCAATAGCTTGTTTATAATGGTTTGAAGAGGACTCTAACAGCCCAGTATTTCTTCTCCCCTAGAAAGACATCTCTCCTTTAATATATATATAGAGAGAAAGGAGGCTTTTCTCCATCAGCTTTCTGGAACAATGCTACACCGGTTTCTATCTCCTAGACTTTGCATAGATCTGCTTTCCTAGGCTGCCTCTAACAGACCTTTTAACAGTCTTTCAAACCCTCATTGTATGATCTTATGAATCCATTATAATACTGTGTCCATGAATTGTATTTCAACATTTAGATTTCTGTGAAATAAAATGGCGGAAGGGGGGAATAGCAGAATATTTCTTCAAGCAAGAAGGAGCAAGAGACTAAGCATCCCTGTTTTGTCTTCCTCTGCTCCCCCCAACAAGTGATGAGCAACGAGAAGTGTAAATACCTCCCTTTTCCAGTGATTTTATGCACCAGGCTTAAAATTAATCCTCTGGAATTAACTGCTTTAAGGATAATCTGAAGGAATGGCTACTCTTTCTTTAAAGAGCCAGTGTTGCTTATGTCTCCCTTCAGGTTTTGCTCTAATGCCTTTTTTGTTTTGTGTCAGGACTAGGACTGGCACCAAACATGACCTGATCCCCATTTCCTGTCTGAATGAGTTTCCCAACGCTGTCCAGATGGCGAAGGTGAGATTCGTGCTTGCCTGTTTGCTCTTACAGCCTCATTCTTCAAGTTATTTTCACCTCTGTCCTCCCGTTTCCTTCTTTCCTACCATTCCCCAACAGTACTGTCATCTACTTCCCTTCTACACTTCCATTTAGTTTCTCTTCTTTCTTCTCTAATTTCACCTCAGAATTTTTGCCTGAAGGGACTCCTGTCAGATAATTAGAAAGAGTGCCTACACTCTCATTCCCGCAGCAAGCACATGATAATCACACGTCTGTTTCCCTCTCTCTCTCTCACTCGGCAGCTACTGTGTGAGGATGTGAATGTTGAACGCTTCTTTCCTGTCCTCTACCCCAAGGTATGATGTTCTGATATGTCTGTATGTCCCTTTTCCATCAAGGTCTGGCTAATGACATCCAATTGATAACTTGTATTTTCGTTACCTCAGGCTTCGCAGCTTATTGTTGCGTTTGATGAACATGTCATAAGCAATAACTTCAAATTTGGGGTCATCTACCAGAAACCTGGCCAGGTAAGCTCCCTCAGATCCCACAATACTTGAAGCAAAACACAAAGAGTCAGTTCTCAGCTTAAATGTAATAACAAGGTCTGTACTATCCTGTGAAAAATACAGACGCCATAAAGAGAAAGGATAGAAGTTTGCCCTAAGTGGATTGATTTGTTTGTGCAGGTCCTCAAAGCTGGTTGAACTGTGTATAGAAATTACTGCTTGTTCTTTGTATTGCTTGTGCTCCTTATGACTTCTCCTTTCCTTTTGAAGACGACCGAAGAAGAAGTCTTCAGTAACACAGAGGAGAGTCTGGGTTTCCTGGAGTTCCTGGATTTCCTTGGTGACAAGATTCAGCTGCAGGATTTCCGTGGGTGAGTACCCAGCGCTGTTGGAAAGCCAGATGGAGTTAGGGAACACCGCAGGTTCAGAGGCTGCAACTCTTAGAGCCCTCCTTTCAGAAAAGTGCTGTGTCCTCTGAATCCCAGTGCAGGTGGAGAAGCCCAGAATGCTTTTGTCAACCATCCTGCCTGGGAACCAGCTGGAGCTTAGGTCTCTGCTGGTATTTTCATTTAAAGGTCTCCTGGTATCTCAATCTGACACACAGTATCAGTAAAGAATAATTTTATTTGACTGTGGGAACGTAAGTTTGTTTCACAATGGTAGGGGTCAGTATTGTTTTAGTCTCTCTCTGTGGGGCAGCCTGTCCTTTCTCTAGTTCTAAAATATGGATTGTGTTTTTCTCAGAAGAATGCCAAAGAAAGTAGTTCCTTTCAGGATCCCTGTTTTTTAGCTTCATAGCTTTTAGCAAGCAAGTATGCTCATCAGCAGAAACATCGTGCAGCTTCAGTCAGTGTGTTTGTTTTGGGAAGATTTCGTGTCCCACTATCACTAATTTCTTAAAAATCACCTTTGATAATATCGGTGTACCAAGCTACTGTTACTGATATCTTCTTTCTTCTTTCCGCTTTCTCGTCTCTGTCCTGCCTGACTGATGGCGTGGTATGGATTTGCTCAGGTTCCGGGGAGGCTTGGATGTCACTCGAGGTCAAACAGGCACTGAGTCAGTCTATACAAATTTCCGGGGCAAGGAGATCATGTTTCATGTGTCTACAAAGCTGCCCTTCACAGAGGGAGATTCCCAGCAGGTATTGGAAGGAGAACTAAGGAATCCAACAGTGTGGCTAAGAGGGGAGGCGTATTTGATAAAAGGCTAATTAGAGGGGAGAATGCCTAATTGGGTAACGTTGGGAGTTATGGCTGGAGTAACGGTTGGACTCGATGATCTTAAGGGTCTTTTCCAACCTTGACGATTCTATGATTCTATAATGGTGAAAGTAGTGATGAGGGGTTTGGTTGGACAGATGGGTTGGAGATGCTAGACAGACTGGTGTTTGAGGCCTCATCATACTGTTCTACTCTTTTTCACCTGCCTTCTTGCGTTATTATTTTTTTTTCCTCTCCAGCTTCAGCGGAAGCGTCACATTGGGAACGACATTGTAGCCATCATCTTCCAGGATGAAAGCACGCCTTTTGTCCCTGATATGATTGCTTCTAATTTCCTACACGCCTATGTGGTAGTCCAGCTCACTCATGGCACCGCTGGGGACACGCTCTACAAGGTAAACAGAGCCAATAGATTCCCCTGTACTGATTTACTGATATTGATCCCTGAAGTGGAAACCAAGCCTTTGGGAGAGGTACAGGTTCAGCCAGCTGTCATCCTAACAGCTTTGCTTGCTCCGTTAGTAAACTTGATCAATGTTTTCAGTGAAAGGCAATAATTAGATCTATTACCAGTAAACCTAGAAATCCAGTAGCTGCCACCAGCTCTCCTTCCTCTTCACCCGCTCTTCGATCTCTGACCAGGAGTCTCCGTCCTGCTATGTTGTTCTCTATTCTGTAGGTTTGCGGAGTCCTCTCTGTTTGGTGTGATTGCTACTTTTCAGCAATCTGTGTTCATGTTTGTTGAGTATTCAGATTTCATCAAGATATTGATAAGCTGGACAGGGCTAGGAGGGGAGGCTGAGAATGATTAAAATTCTGGAACACGAGTGTTTTACTCAAAGTGGTCCAGGACTGCTTACTGCCTCTACCTAGCAAATAGAAGGTTAAAGAATAATTTGATCAATTTGTTGAGTACCTACACGGGAAACTAGAATGTGCTTCTATGTTTTTCGAAGTAGCTGATGAATTTCTGAAGCTTAAAGGCTGGGAATTGAAGCAGGACGAATTCAGATAAAAAGTCTTTGTTTACATCCAAAAGCACGACAAGCAAGTGATGCCATTTTGGGATTTGTCTTGCTTGCATTGTAGAAGTCAGGTAAAATTCATTCGCCTGACTGACAGCCATGTCTGCATTGCTCACGCTGCAGAGCACAGCGCTGAGAGCTTGCGCTGCCTGAGGCTGCAGGTCAGGTACAGGTGGTTGGCCTAATCTATGGAATCCAAACCAGCTACATCTGCTTTGGGGGATCCCAGGACTGATGCCCATCTGGCAGCGAAGTGCTACCTGTTAGGGCCCTCCAGTTGAAAGAAGCCCTGCTAGAACACGAATTCCCTATCTGCAGCCTTTGGACGCAGCTCTTTCTCTGTCACGCGATTCTCTATGGATGCCTATATAACTTAATGTTCAACTTTCAGTCCTGCTGAGAGAGCAGAAAATATATAGAAGCTTGCATTCTGTGATGGATTTTCCATTGTAGAAACATTTTAATCAAAGTGCCATGTCTCATATTATGTAGGAATTCTGATTTGGTGATGATGAGTCCTTATGCCTTGGAGGTCTACAAGAACACCAAGAATATCAAAATTAGGACAGGATCCCCATCTCCTCTCCCACCAAAGAGGGTGCCTCGGGGTGGAACAACCACTTTCCACTGTTCCCTATGCTATGGGCAGCCAGGTCTGTAGTGACACGATAGCCTCATGTTGATCAGGGGCGTGGGGTTCCAGTTTTCCTCTCGCTTTTCTGTTTTGTAGGGCACAGAAATTCACTGGACTTTTTTTAATGACAAGAGAAAGAGCTGGGGAAGCTTGCTATTTGTCTTGTCTCTTCCTACTATTGTTTTCATCTTTGCCTGCCTGCAGTGGCATTGTTTTTGTCAGTGTAATAAGGTTGCCTGTATCATTTCATAAAGAAGAAATAGTACCAGTCAGGATCCTAGAGCCAATGCAGAGTTTTCTGTAAAGGCTTTGCCAAAGAGATTTTAACTTATTCTGCCTTGAGAGCATTCTAGTACCTAAGAGACTGCAGTTTGGGAAGATTTTTTTTTTTCCATTCGTTGTTCCATTTACTTAAGCTTTAGTGCCTAGTGGTTAATTTGGAATATTAAGGGAATTTATTTCTTTGGATCAATTTTTGCAATCAGAAAACTAAAAAGGCAAAGCAGGATTTTAAGTGGTAGATATCTGTTGGGAGGGAGAGGGAGGCCTTGCAATTAGGGGAGCTGGCCTACAATCTGAGAAACCTGAATGAAATGGAGGGCCCCTTTCCTTCTTCCTCTCATTGAGCTCATGCCTCTCAGTGACATTTACACTGGAGCGTTATTTTGAGGCAGTTGCTGTTAAGTTGTTCTGACATTGTTCCCTGTTGTGTGAAATGGCAAATAATGGTATTGTTCCATCTCAGACATGATGAAAAAGATAACTGTGAAATATTCTTAAATGCTGTATGTATCTGGTAAGATAGCTGCATGTAATCATAGGTAAGTGCTGTGAAGAGCCAAGCGACAGTGTGTAAAAACTGGACTGCGTTACAGTTACTTTTTTTGGCATTGGTATGGCAGGTAGGAGCATGTTTAAAAAAAAAAAAAAAAGCATGGATTTCTTTATCTCTTACTGGGAAAGTGCTTTTGTATGCTTACCACATGTGGCTTGGAGAGGTGGTGTCACTGAGGTGCTCTCCTCAGTGTGCAGTGTATCTCCACGGAGGATTCTCGTTCAAAAAGACAGGTCAGTACAACCATATTGACAAAGGTTCTTCTAGTGGAGGTAAATCTTGCAGGCTGAGTAGAAGCACCTTATTTTGTTGTTTTAAATACATTGGTTATTATTAAAAATATTTATTAAAAATATTTTTTACAAAAGCAATCTGTTCAGTTGGTTTTTGTTGCTCTTACTGTGTGGACATCTAGCTGACTGAATTTCGGGGAGATCAATCGGCACCTCTTTTCACTGAGTACAGAAACAGATGGGTGCACGGGACAGCATATTAGATCTCTTTTGGATATGTAAATGATTCAGGAAGGATCACATGTACCATAATAGTTTGAAGGCTTTGATAGTCTCACTTGTGTTATGAGACTTATTTTTTTCCCCTTATATTGTTTCAGGTTTCAGTCACAGCCCGAGATGATGTCCCCTTCTTTGGACCCCCTCTGCCAAATCCAGCCATATTTAGAAAGGTTTGTTTCTCTGGTCCAGTGTTAGATGGCAGGGGGATACGGTACATACCCTTGTGTCTGCGTCAGTATTGTCAGTCTGGCTAGATGACTTTGGAGGTCTAAAGAGTGGTAAGGCAGAGCTTTTCTCATGTGATGTTTTTATTACTGTTTTCATCTCTAGTCTAGTCTTCATCTTGTCTTGTAGAGTGCAGAGTTTCGTGAATTCCTCCTGGTCAAGCTCATCAATGCTGAGTACAGCTGCTATCGAGCGGAGAAATTTGCTAAATTAGAGGTGGGTCTATTACCTGTTCCTTCCATTAAAAATTATAAAACTATATTACTGCCAGATTAAGAAAATACAGTATTATTTTTTACTTTCTTCTGCTTCTAATTTTGTGTTGCTTAAAAAGGGAAGATAAAATGTGATTATACTGAGCTATGTGATGCTTCCTTTGTATTTCACAGCAGGCGTGATAGAATATGAACACATACGTTCTAATGCAAAGATCTAATAATCCTCAAGTAAGAATGGGGATACGATGCATACATTTTGCTGGAGGAAATTCTGCATTAGCTGAAACTCAGTATTGTGCTACGGGATGCGTACTGATATCACTGATTTTGGTTCAAGGTACCAAAATTCTGTTCCAGACTCTGCTGCTTGCCTGATCTAGGAAAAACTGCCCTCAATCCATGCCTCTGTTTCATCACCTGTAAAAAAGTACTGACGTCCTTTATGACTTGCTTTAGAAAGCATTTAAAAGGGCTGGGTATTACTGTAATATATTCCGTAACTATACAGTTGAAACACTTCATACTGTTTAAATTAATTTTCTTTTTTTTTTTTTTTTTCTTTGAGAAGGATGTGAAACATTGCAAAAAGAGGGGGGAAAAAATTAAATTCCCTCCACTCCCGATAATAGCTGTGTCTTCATTCCCAATGTTGATGCAGGAAAGGACCCGGAGTGCCCTCTTGGAGAGCCTTTTTGAGGAGCTGCAGCTGCGCAGCCGCAGTATGATGGGATTGCCCATAGGGGAGGATGACAAGATAGAGAACGGCAGCGGGGGCTTCCTCGAGAATTTCAAGGTGAGCCACAGTGGATTGATTCCTTACCCAGTTGCTCACGCTTTTCTCAAGCTCCTTGAGAAACTACTCCTCCAAGGAGTATTGACCCTGCTGACTAAGCTGAGTATTGACCTCACCCTGACTCAGCTGTGCTTAGGGTGAGACAGAAAAAAAGGCTTTCCCTCCAGCAGCCTTTCTTTAGAGCATCTTCAACTGTGCTTTACCATCTCTCTCAAGAAAAGGCATTTTTCCCCTTCCTATTCTCCTTTCTACAGAGCTACAGTGTGGTCTAGGGTAGAGTTCCATACTGTCCCTGAGAAGGCAAACTCTTTAGGCTTCATGCTGGTGTCAGATAGGGTTTCACTCCATGACTTACAGAAAAAGGAGAGAGTGTTTGCAAGAGGAATTTTAATAACTAGTAGCAAGCAGCTTTCAGTTCCTACAGCAGATCTCTTCCAATTCATTTTCATTATAACCGAAAGAGTTGCAAAAGCCACTGCAAGAGAGTTTCTAACATATCTGTGAGTGTACTGTCTAGAAAAACTGTGATGCTTTACTTACCCTCTAAAAGCCAGAGTTAATTTACCTTTGTTCAGTGTAGATGACAATATTTTCTTTTGTTTTTTTTTTTTTTTTTAATATACCAGGATCAGGTGACAGAACTTACTTTCAAAAGTGATCAAGATAATATGAGAAAGCAAAGTTTTTGTACAAACAGGCAAACTGAGTTTTGAATTGATTATATAGAGAGAATCTTATATCACTTTCCTATCTACTTCCCCTTTCCCACTTCTGTGGGAAGTGCCTCACCCATTCTTTTGTATTATAAGTTATCTGTCTGGACAGAGAGGCATATTATAAATAGCATTTCTTCAGATGATCTCCACCTGCTCTGTATGATGGGCTGGTTAGAGTTGTTAAGGGCTATGAAACTAACCCATTCACACATAGGTTTCGTAGCTATATGCGTAGCTTTGGTCAGAGCTGGGATGCTTTGGTGAGGTGTATTTTTACGTACAATCAGTCTACCCCGCCTTTGCTGCTCACCAGGAATTTCATACCCATCCATCTCTTACACTAGTTATCCCAAAATGTCCTTTCCTGACTTCTAGCAGATGCTGTGATTTGCACGTCGTGTACACAGATGACCTTTGTAAAAGGCTGGAAAAGGCTGAGTAAACTCAGAAAAAGGCTTTTTCAAATGCTGCAGATTTTGATATGGCTGCTTTCCCCTTGGAACCAGCACTCAAATTCATGCGAGACTGAACTTTACAGTCTTGAACAGGAGTTTGATTTCGTGTTTTGTAGCCTGTACTGGGTAGGACTGTTCCAGATTATGCTGTCTTATCCAGTATGCTGGGATACTGGTAGGGAATCTCTATTTACTGCAACAGGACAAGGGGAGGAAAGTAGAGAATATAATTGAGGAAGAGTTTTTCCCTGGCAGGGAGCTCCATGAAATGGCTAGGACTAAAAATGGGTAATATCTAAGATGCTGCCTCCTAGGAGTTAGGATTTCTGTGGTTCTGGTGTTGGTCTGTCACAACTTTCCACCCAATCTGTGGTGCTTTTTGTGCTGCCCTACCGTGTGCATGTCTATATGTGTATCTGTGTTTGTCTGTTTCCCTGCCTCCCTTCTGTCAGCGGGTGATCCGAGGCCGCAGCCAGAGCCTGGATACCATGGGGATATCCATGAGAAAGCAGCAGCCAGCCACCCTGCCCAGCCGCCCAGCTACAGCTGGCCTTGCCCTCAGCCAGAGTGTCGCCGAGGGCCCTAAGGCCATTGCTGCGGTAAGGTATTTGGGTGGGCTGTAAGAAGAAACCTGGCCTACCTTTGTGACCCACCCATACATTTTATTTCTCTTCCCCTATTAGTTTGTCCTCTTGTCCTTCTGTGAATCTCTTTTTGTTGAATCATCCCATTTCACAAGTGGTGACAGCATGTGTTGCAGTCTAGTTTGTGCCCCCGTTCATCTGTAAACTAGAGCGGAGATAGATGGCTGATGTAGAATCACGTTTGGCTTTCTTCTCCCCGTCTGCATCAATCTCTGCTATCCTGGATTAGATCTTGTACGCTGCCATACCTTAAAAAAATGCATGCACTGTGGTTTGACCAGGATGGTGCTGTGTTGTCATACGGCAAGAGCTGAGAGCATAAGGACACTAGATCTGTTCCGTTTTCTTCCATTTCACCAATCAGATTCTTTTCTGTAATATAAACAGGTGCACAATATTTATCGAAGGTGTGCTGTTTTGCTGTAAATAGACCCTGCATGTTGAGAACAAAGAGCAGAATTAAAGTTTGGGGTGAGAAAAAAAGAGTGAATGTTTCTAGTCACTATTAAAGCCTTTCTTATTTGATAGGGATACTAAACATACGTGATCAGTGTGAGCATAATAAATCCATGACAAATGGATTTTTCCAGAAAAGGATCCAAGTTTCTGATACTGGAAATATGGTTACCTTGGCCAAAGTGCATCCAGCTGATTGTGGTCTCTCCACTAGTGATGTCAATACAGGCAAAGTACAGAAAAACGTCTCTGAGTAAGCCGAGAAGGTGCCTTTCAGCGTAGAAATTTCTTGGTGACAGTTTACTCCGTTGTACGCATTCTTTATGTCAGCGCAACAAAGTCACAGACTTGAGTTTGCTGCCTCCTTCTCTCCTTTAACTTCTTGTTTTCTCTGCCTTTCTGATTCTGCCTCTCCTCTCATCATATGGGGATACCTCCCTTCCTGAGCTGCTTTCTCCGTATGCTGGCTGTGTATCTTGTTTTGCCTTTGTTTCTATCTCTCTGTCTCTTTCTCGTGCCACCTTTGTAAGCCCTAGCTTCTCTTTCTCACTGACAGAAAGTGCTCCTCCTTGCATCGGTGGAGCTGGGCCACGCTATTGTATTGCAGAGTAAAGGAGAGGATCTGGATCCACATCGCAAACTCCCTCTCCCGTGCTTCCAGTTCTCCCGTTTTTCCTGTCTTGTTCCCCTCCCTCCTTTCTGTCACACTTTCCTTTTTTCTAGTCTTTTGCCTTGCCTGGTAGGAGCCCATCACGTACTCGAGCCAGCCGCTTCCATGGGCGACGGAGTAGTGCCATTGGCATTGAGAACATACAGGAGGAAAAGAGGTATGAGCCGTGGGAAGATGAGACAAAGAGAGAAAAAAACAGGAGGAGGTGAGGAAAGGGAGATAGAAAGGCACATGTAAGGACAGGAAGGAAATCAACAGGAATGAGAACTGAAATGGAAGTGGTTGGAATGGGAAGAAAAGCCTGATTATCAGCTAATGGAGAAACGGACAAGTGACAGAAACAAAATAAAAAAGGACATTTGGAAATAGGGAGAATCGATATTTGAGGAAGGAGGGAGGAGGTGGGTGGAGGAACATGGTAAGATCGCTCTTAAACGTTGTGCAGTATGATCCACGACTCGGTTCTCCTGTTCTGTGTTCGCCACTTTGAGATAAGAGTCAGATGAAAAGCTTTTACTTGGGAAGGGGGAATTGGGTGCTTTCTTCCTTGTTTGTTTGTTTGTTTTCATGTTTAAAAGTTCAAATAGACAGAACTTCTGATATCTTAAAGTTTTTTTTTTTAAAGAAAGCTTTACGTCAAAATGACTAGCATTTAAGTTAGATGGTCTGAGAAATAATTCAGGGGTAACACACAGGTTTAAGGAGTGATTTGGCATATTTGATGGAATTATAACCATTCGAAAGTTGTCTACTGGTCACGAGAGATTATTTAGTTAAATCAATAAATTTGTAAGATTATACAGAGTCTCGAAAGTCACATGAGTGCTTTGCATGTAATATACAGTTTTCCCAGTTGCAAGAATTCCAGGGAACAGGTTAAAGACTCAGTGTAAAAGGGGAAAAGCCATCTTTAATGTGGAAACCAGTGATTTCACAACAGGAAGAATTACTACATTTTCCCTTCTTTCCAGTTATTCTCTTGGACCTTTCCTTAATGAGGTGCCTATGACCTAATCTGAATAAAAATATAGAACTTTCTTTGAGAAAAATAAAATCTTCTGAGACAGCTTCCCCCTAACAGTCTAAGCCAACACAGTAGCCACAGCTCCTCGCTACTTTAGATTGTTTTGTACCTTATGCAGCCGTGGCCCTCAATCCATTACTTTGTGTACAACATCCTTCACCATCCCCTTAAAAGATCTGTAAAAGTTTTCTACAACAAGGGAAAACCCTGAATTTCTTTTTTTTTCTGCTCTGTGCTAGGAGGGAATTGGTAAGCTATTGCATTTATTTAGCTTTCCTTTTGCTTATTTGTCATCTTAGATATGAGGAAGAGTGAGCCTTGTCTTGTGTTTTGTGAAAGACTTTTGGGGTGATTCTTGAAGGTACGGTTTCACTAGCAACTGGTCTGTTCTAACAGTTCATTGCTACTGAAAAGCAGGTATCGTACTTTCCCTCTCCCGGTGTCTCCTTCAACTACCCAGTCCTGTCCCATTCCTTGCGATGGCTCAGATGCTTAGCGGACCCTTCGTGGAACTGATTCAGCCCGTTAATCTAACAGAAGAAGTATCCACTTTCTTTCGTTGGGTTAATTGTCTGCCAGGTTCTGCCATGACCTGGCTCACAGAGAAGTCTGATGGGTCCCAGGACTGGTGGAAAGTACACTCAGCAAGAGCGGAGGAGGCTGGAGCGGGCTCTCTCTGGCAGCAGTGAGCTCAACACGTCACGTGTGACTTCATCCTGAAGGTGTAGTTTAATGATATGCAGGCTTTGATGAGAGAGCTGACCCAGCCCATCCCGCTTGTTCATGTGTCGGAAGTTTCAGGGTCGGTTTAGTTTCAGGATCGTTCTTTGTCAGGATAACTTCCAGTCTCACAAACAGTTGTATCAGCCCAAGCGAGGGCATGAGGAACTGTGATGTGAGGGGTACAGGTAGAATCAACTGACCAAGAGAGCAGAGGAGGAACTTTGTGAACTCCATCACTGAAGCCACAAAAAAAAAAAACCCAACAAAACCCTGAGTTTTCCAATCCTTAATTAAACGTAACCCACTTTTCAGTTACTCACACAGACAGCTTTCTTCAGAAGTACCTTGACAAATACTAGTAGCAGTACAACTGTTGTAACCATCCTGAAACAGGGGAATTTGCTGAATCCTTTTTCTTTACGCAATAAATATATAAGCTCTCTAATCAATCCTAAAGCTTCTTATGACGAATGAAATGGGGAGAGTAGAAGGAAAAGTTGAAGAACTCAGGGAGAATACTGAAATTACTTCAGGCTTTTATATCAATTCAAAAGGAGCTTAAAGTTGGCCATTTCTAATATATTGCCCTCAACAGGTCACATCTAAGGAGGGTGCTTTTTTCGACACAACTGCATTTGCTTCCCTTTCATGTCTATACCAGAGATCCAGCTTTGCATTGTGGCTTGTAAGGATGTGTTAGAATAGATAGTGGTTAGCTCTGGCCCTGGGGTACAGCTGGTTTCTCTTTTGTCCCAGCAGAGACACTGCAGAGAGGATACAGAAGGTGCTGGACAGTCCAGGAACTTTCTTTGACCTGAAGTCTGATGGATCATCCAGTCCCAGCTCCCCAGAGTTCCCCAGCAGGAAAAGCAAGTGAGTTGAAAATAATTTTAATATTTGAAAGACGCTCACTGCGGCTGGTATTGGCTTAAGCGTGGTGCATGTCTTGCTCTGTTGGAGGCTTTTCTGAGATTGTCCACATCAGGCACTGCAGCATCTTAAAAGTTAGATGTCTGGCCGTGGCACAGTCATTCAGAGCATGTAAGTAAGGAACTCAGCTTTCTTAAACAGCCAGTGAAGAACGGTTGGACCACTTAAAGGTGATTTTGGCTATATCTTTACTGTAATGTTAGCTTGCATCCAACAGGATACACAAAGCCCTAGCTGTCCAATTATCCATGCTTACTCATCTATATGTTTCCTCTGTAGTTTGCTCTGGAGTGATTTTGGAGCTTCATGGAGAAGCTTGGACAAGGGTATGTTGGGATGTTGGGTTATACTCAAATCCTGCCCCTTTGAGCAGGATTCATGCTGCTGCTCCCAACCAGCGTGAACTAGCCTGTCGTCAGTCCTCCCAAAGTGTTACAGCAGGGTCTCGTGTGTTGCACCTATGTTTCATTGCTAAAGCACGCCATACCACACCCAGCGTTCTCCTGCAAAACGCTTCAGGCAGTAGCCTGCAAAATAGTTCTCCAGTTTCTGGTGGTCACAAACTGGAAAAATGCACTTTCCTGGTAGTGCAGCTTTGCTGTTGCTAAGCTGTATTATGCTGGGATGTGATCCTGTCTAGGGTACTTCAGGGCTTCACGGAAACCACCCACGTACATTTCCAAGACTCCAGAGCAGCCTGTCTCTGACTCCAAGACTGCAGCTGACTTTCTGGAACAGCTTGCCACACCTGGTTTCGTTCATGAGAACTTGGATGAGACCTGTGGCGGAAAGGGCACTGAGTGCTTTGTAGTAGGGCCTGTCCCTTTCTCAGGACTGGGGCTACTCTAAGAAAATTTCAGGAGGTGCCCCAGAGCGAGGCCTCTATGGTTGTAGTTGCTCCAGGTGCCAAGTCTGACAAGGAAGGGCCTTCCTTCCAACTAGACCCAGTGCTCCCTAAGAATTACAGGCTGGTGACTATCTGCAGTAGTTCAGCTACCAAATTGTATTCTGCAGGACTGTCCAAAGTATTGGTGGGGAGGAGGATGGGAGCACAGCTAGGAGATGAAGACCGTTTTAAGATGCTAGCTCTGGCAGCCAAGGACAAGAGAGAATGCAGGACAGGGAACCACCGACTGGTCAGCAACTCCCGTCTTCCAGTATGACCACATCATTCCACCTCCCCTTCCTCATCCTGCCTGGGACCTTGTTAGTGAACTAGAAGTTCCTGGCTAGGCACATGTGAAGGACTCTTGCTCGGATTAGGTAGCTGAAGTAACCTTGCAAAATCAGCAAGAATTCTGCCTAGTAAGAAGACATCTCATAGCTCGGCTAGTCCTGGTTACCCTACTGTAGAATGTGTGCATGTCCTGGAAAAAAAAATGGTGAAGCTTTCTTGATATCTGTTCCTGATTTCTGCCTTTGATTGCGGGCTTCCCCACTTCCCAACCCCCATTCTCCATTAATCAGCTGCGGAGGTGAGCCAGCTGCAATGGCTGTTTCAAATTGATATCACATGCTTTCAGAGAGCAAACATAGCATGGGATTTCATGCATGAATATTGTTTGTGCACATGAGGCATGACCTGTATGATTTGGCAGTCTGTCTACTTCTGTCCCCAGGGTTCTCTCTATGCATCTTTTTCCAGTCATGGACTCAAAACCACTTGTACGATCACCAGAAAAAGTCTCTTCACAGTTGTGGTGGTTTAGCCCATTCCTGGACAGTTTGTTTACAAGGTGGGATGTAGCATGGAGTTTTGCACAGTTGGTGATTAGCTGGAGTTAGAGTTGCGACTTCAGAGTTCGGGACCAGCCCGCATGCAGTCACACCTTCTGCATCATATCTGGGACAGGGAATCAAGGATATGCAATTCCACCATGTAAAGCACACCACTTTCACCAAGACCGCATTAGCACAGTATTGCAGGAACAGGCTAGGAGTGTAATTCTAACAGGCTGTCTCAGAAGACAGTTCTACTGAAGTTCTACTGAAATAGTCTATTTATTGTTTATTAATCGTGGAACCACAAATCAGGATCATGATATAGGCATATTACTAATGCAAAAAGAGTTCCAGCTGGTTCTAGAGTAATTTACGCAGCCCGTATTAAAAATGTTATCCCTGGTAGTATCTCATCGATCCACTCCTGGTTCTCTCCGGGGAGTAGCGTCACAGGAAATTTCTCTATTGCAAAAATGTCCAGCATGTTGCTGCTGGTCCTAAATAATCGTTTCAGATTCCAGACTTGAATGATCAAACTCTTCATCTCTGTTCCACTAAAACCAACCTGGAAATAAATGCAAAGGGAACACATAAATAATAGATGAGTTCTTTTACAGTAGAGACAAACCAGCACTTTCTCTCCTCGCATGCTGATTTCCAACATGCCCTTCTGCAGTGATCAGCCTGCAATCCATGAAACCTCATTGTTCGCTTGGGCTAACAGTGTCTTCTCTCCCACATACAGGGACAATTGTCCTTAGTTTTTCTGTTCCACTGTCCAGGTAGCCTTCCAAATAATCCTTCTTCCTAAGGGACAGACTCAAAGGAATGAACCCAGCCTAAGTAACCAGGTAGCGAAACTCCTCAGGATCAGATGGCTTTCTGGGTTGCATCTGAAAAACCAAGAACTGTACTGTCTATGTCCAAATCCTAGGAAAAGTACATGGGTGTTTTGTGTGTGTGTTTTCCCTCCTCAGACACATCTGAGTGGGGACATCAAGCCAATCAGGAGTGGACCGGCTGCTACTCAGTCATTGGTTACCTCACAGAAGATACTGGCAAGACTTTTGGGGTGAAATGAGAGCCCTGGCTAAGAGGAGCATGAACTTACTTAGAGGACCTCAAGGACTGTGGAGAGACCAAGTGGCACCAAGTAACGCTCCGCTGGCAGTTCCTGGAGCAGGAATCCTGGGAAAGGGAGATGGACAGATAGCTCCTATTGGAGCATTTTGGCTCTGTGCCCTTCCCATTGCCCAGTCGGCAGCCACTGAACCAGCCTCTACTAATGATGGGGGAAGGAGGCCACCTTGAGTGCCTCCCCTTCTCTTCCCCTCCCCTCAGATGAGCGAGAAGAGAACAGCTTGGCCTGCAGAAGGCGAGAGCAGAAGAACATGTTTCCACCTCTGTCTCTAGTGCCTTTGGATGACATAGGTCAGGAAGTGCAGTGCAGAGAATGAGGATGGAGAAACCTGCTGAGGAAGGATGCTGAGAAGGAGATACTTTGTGGAAATCTAGGTCCCAGCTCACTTAAATTCGTGTTATTTGATTTGCTCTGCCAAGGGAGAAGCATGTTGGCCTTCGCTTCCTCTAAAATATATTTCCTAATCTCCTGAGGAAATATCTTTGGCCTATATTGGCCCTACCATTACTGTTCTCCCTGTTGCATGCTGGCATGTAATATGCCTGGGACTTTAGGTTTCATTACTGCTTGTAGGTCAAGACTGGCCACATTTTGCAGTGTTTCTGAAGGAATAAATATATTTAGTATGTTAAAGGTGTCTTATCTTTCTTGCCTCTCTTAGCTTTTTTGGGTTTCTTAACATTTTTAAGCACTTCATCTCTCTCTTATTGGCTGGTCTCTTGTGCAGGCAGTGAGTATTTCACCATAAATGTTAGGCTTACATGCACAGTGCACCTTCCACCACGTAAGCACATCAGCCTCATGGACTGCTCTTTCTCCTAGATGACTGCAAGCAGCGGATCCAAAATTCTGAGCTGGGAGAAGCTAACCTTAAGGGTCTTTCTTGACAGAAATGAAACATGCACCAGGCTGCCTCGGTGTCCATGACATTTGAGAGAGTGGTGGTCAAGTGTTCCTATGCAGTTTGCTTTGAATGTTCCCTTTGTAATGACTCTGGGAGCTACAAGTCTAGTGGGCTGAACCTACCGGAGCCAGTCTACTGGCAACTGGGCACGTGTAAAATCACCAGGCTGGGCATCCTGACCTAGGTATGTTCCTATCTGTAAGCAGGAGGAGGGGTCTGACCTGTCTGTGCAAGAGCTTGGCACTTGATCCTAATGGTTTGGCACTGAGACATCCTAAAATAATGCAGATCTCAAGTAATTTGTTTCCACCTCCCCATTGCTTCCTTAAGCTTTCTTAGTTAACCATTCTATAATACTGGTTAATGTCTGTGTGCTTTCCTGACTCCTCCCGTTAGAACTGTCCAGAAACACAGCAGTGACAGTTTATAAGCTCTATGACATGAAAAAAAGTGCTTTTATAGCCCCCTTGTACTGTCTGGAATTTCACCTGAGACGCAACATGGTAGGCTGAGAGCGGCTGTGGGAATGGCTGGCCTAGGCTGGGTGGTGCCTTCCCTTTATACCCAGTTTAACACCTCGCCATGTTGTATTTAGGATCCTAAAATCTCTGATCTCCAAAATGAAGGCATCTGTTGATTTTAATGAATGTCTAGAGGTAACCAGTGCTTAAAGGCAGGTGGTTTGGCTCACTCTGCTTTAAGACACTTAGGTCTGTGACTTAAAAATTCAGTTAGTCTTGTCCTTTCGTACAGTTATCCGGAATGGAAACAAGAAGCGGTGTTTCTACTAAATGAAGCGGCAACCAGAAATTAAGGAATGCAAGCCAGTTCGCCTGAATTCTGTTCCTAGGTGGAAAAACTAGCTGTGGATGAATAATTTCTTCTTACTGTTTCTGACTGCTGTATAATAAAGCTGTGTCACAAAAAGCGCAACAATAAGCATGATGATGTTGAATGCTTGCATTTCACAGAATGCTCAGGAGTCAGACTTCAGGATACTGCGTGATGCAGCCATTCTCACGTTCTTCATCCAGTGTAAGCAGTTGTTGTAGTGGTTTGAGGGAAAATGAAACATCCGAGGAAGAGGAGAATGACAGGGTGGGTGTATGATCTCTAACAAACAGGCTACCTCCCTGGTTTTACCAAGTGCATTATTAAAACACGTCTTCTTTGCCCTCTCCAGGAGCTGATGTGCTCTCTTGAGGGCCCTCCAAAACAGGATTCAATGGTTCAGAGTATGTGGCTGGATGACAGTGACTGCACACCCAGTACTTCCAGCTCACCAGGTAAAAAAGAAAGAAAACCAGAAAAAATCCTCTGCTTATGCTTCCAGAAGCATACGTCAGGTTGAGCCGCGTTCATTTGGCAAAATCTTTTGTATAGCTTTACTTAAGATTTGAGAAGCACAGGTGATGATAGGCTCAGAGAAGTGGGGAGAGAAACTAGCATGCAAACTGTAATGGGGAGAGAATGGGAAGGGGAAGTGCGTTTCGGCAGCATGAATAAACAGTGCTGTACTCACTGCAGAAGGAGTTACAGTAGACTGCAAAGAATTAACGGGTTTCTGTGGAGAGCACGTATCTCAATGGTTGCTTTTCTGAATGCAGTGCCCCTTTATAAACTAGATATAGTTTGGATATGGGAATTACAGAAACAGTGCTTCCTGAAGGAAACAGCACGCTCCTGAGAAGGTGGGTAATCAGGTAGCTAACCTGCGCTGCGCTTTTTGACTGCCAAGGCTGGGCTCAGCGTAGTACTTGATTAAAGGTGAAGTAGTTGATTTAAGTCAGCTTGGATCCATTCGCAGTGCAGAGATGATTATAGTCGTTGTAAGTTCTCTGTAGTAGTCCCATAGCAGGCAGGACTGCTGCAGTATCTGTTGTCGAGGTTGTATCAGCTGCCCTGATCTCAGGCCCTGTTTGCAGTTGTGTTTCACTTTGTTAAAATGAACTGGTTTATATTGAAGCATTTCTTGTTGAGTATCAGCCTAAAGCTAAAATTCTGGAAAATTTAAATCGGTTTCAGTCTGTTTTTGAGAACGAGGCGGAAGGAACTGGGTAAGATTTGGGGAAAATATGATTGAAAAGACGAAGCTTTTGAGGTTGGGATGTCATTAGGAACTGTGCAAGGCAAAACTTAATGTTTGTTGCTAAAAGATTCTGGAACAGGAGCCGGTTGCGATGGTAGGATACTAGGGATTACGTGGATGGCAAGAGAGAGAGTTGGTTGGAAGGAACAGTGAAATCTTGATAGGAATTGTGTGAAAAGGGATTGTTGAAAAAGATGTCAAGGGTCAGAAAGCGGAGCCAATTTACTTTGAAGACAGAGTTAGGTCTCTCAATCTCTGCAGCAGCCTCTGAGATATCAAGAGTGGCCATCAGATCCCTGCTTCAAATTGCCTGTATCTTAGCAACAGCAACGAGGATGTGATGCTGTGAGATGTTCTGCAGAGACCTCTGTTCTGTGAGGTGGTCGGTAAGATTTCTCCGCTTCTCCAGAACAACTCACAGCGTGAGGGCTTGTATACTTAAAGGCACAAGAGAACCCAAGGGGCTTGTATTGAAACTCTGGAAGAACAGGAAAAACAAGTGGAGTTACTGATTGTGCAGAGGAAGAAGAGAGCCATGCCGTATACTATAATTAGGAAGTGGGGTGCTTATATACAGAGCCTGCCTGTTGTGAGGAAGAGACATGAAGGTGTTAAAGGTGGTGATACGAAAAAGCAGCATGTCAGGAGCCTTCACAGCAGAAGACAGCTGAGGAGCTGCTATTAAGAGGCAGAAGCTGGGAATGCGCTTCTGTAGATCCTTGTGTTGAAGGCTAGGAAGAAAGAGTTCAGTGTCATCAGCTCAGAGCAAGAGCGGTAAATAAATACCGTAAGGCCAGGAGGCCCAACACCATGAAATTGTCTCTTTTTGAAGGGATCTGGAAATGCCACCGTAAAAGCAATAGCTGCTTTGTGCCTGGTGGTGTGAGGGTTTTCACTGTATCACCATGGCATTGTCCAGGCTACCATTTCCACAGGTCTGGGATCATCCTGAGCAGGTCACAGCTCCTGTCGCAAATATTTGAGCTTTATTCACCCCTGTTGCCTTTTGTGGCATTGCACTGAGACCAAGCAGGTGGGAGAGATGGTTCTCTGTCAAAAGTGAACGAACAGCTTGTGTTTACTTGTGATGAGAAATACTAATGGGAGCAGAGAAGTAGTGTAACTGCAAAGGAGTTTGTTTTGCTTGAGTGTCAGAAATTGTCTGTTGTCATCAAGTAAAAGATTTCACGTTGCTTTTGACCTTGCGGGTAACTGCAGTTCCTCTTGCCCTCCGCTTATCCGAGAGCGCTCCCAGGCGCAGACACAACGCAGTGCTGTTTTTAACAGTGCTGTTGCCTCCCCTGCCACGGCCCGTGGTTTAATCCAACTGTGATCTTTCCACAAATCCACTTATCACTCCCATCTACCTCCGTCATGTAAAGCCCAGTGGAAGTGATCCACTATAAACTTTTATTATATTGGCTTGGGTTCTCTCTCCTTTTACCCCTTTACTCGCTTGTGCAACATTTTCCTTTCTGCATTCTTTTTCTTGCCAGAAAATCCCACTGGGTCCTAGAGCTGTAGCTGAGCTATAGAAGTTCAGATCCAGATCCAAGTGCTAGGTTGCTCGTACAGGCCCAGCTCACTCTGAGCTCCCAGCTTGCCACCTTGGGGAAAAGCTGCTGACTCAATATACTCGCTAGTAGAAGAGTGCTAGGTTATTCAGCCTAGTTGTTCCCCTTTTGCTATGGATATTGGAAGCAGGGATGCTTTCCAGTGGCCTCTGCTGCTCTTCCTGGATAGTTTCCCTGTCTGCTGACTCCTTATTGTCCCACAGATATATACATCGTTAATATACATCACTGAGAATAATCATTACAGAGAATGTGATGTAAAGTTCAACGTAAGTTTTAGGTCTTATACGCTCCGTTGTCAGTGGCAGTGATCTGATACTGATCCTGCACAACTTTCACTGTGGTTTCTCAGTACCCTGGGCATGGTAAGAGAGCCGCAGCCTGCAGGAGCGGTGATTTTTTGCTGTACCATATCTACTCTTAGATCTTCAGTGCAGAGATTTAAAAAAAAAAAAAAAAAAAGGTATTTAAAGGTACACCAACAAACATACAGGTTTGTATATGGACTTCGGACTTATTCCAGGAGAGCCATGGTTTAAAAGAGAGAAACGCAGCGGATACGTTTCTGACGAGGTGAAATCAGCTCGCCTAATCAGGAGGCCGTAGAGATGTAGTCCTGAGTGCCATTGCTGGCTGCAGTAAGAAAGCTTGATGTCGCCATCCACACCATTCAGAATGTGTTTGTGGTAATGGATGAAGGGGCAGAGAGGAAGGAAACAAAAGGTTACGTGTGTGTTTGAGGTACGTGAGGTAGCAGAGCTGAGCCTGCATTTTCTAAGCACAAAGTGAAATCTTGCCCTTAGGAATGTCAAAGTTTTTGAAATTTTATTTTCCAGAAATTCTGACAGTTCTTGAGCTAGAAGAAGATAGGATTAAGAGCAATTTGTTGTGCTAAAAAAATTAGGAAAAAAAAAAAAAGGGATTATATATTTATTTTGATTTTTTGCAAATACTAAAAAGTTTTCTATTTATGTACTGCAGCCAGTCCTGACAGAAGACTAACTACCAAAAGATCAAGTGTGGCGATCCATGTTAATATTCCTAGACAAAATTACATTTA